ATTATGGGGAACAAATATGGTGTCACTACAGGGCAGAATTAAGGTTGGGTGCCTTAGGTGTGAATTTCCATCCCCTAGCATATTCTGATTGCTGTTAAGTGGGTTTGGCAAAACTCATTTTGTCTATTTCTTTTTTTAATTTCAATAGATATTGATATTTATTTTTAAGCCCTTTTTAATGTTTGCAATTTCAATGTTCAAAGCTGTGGGAAATTATGGGGATGGTCAGACAACAATTATTTAATTACAGTAAATGTTGAGATTCTAAAAGCCAAATCATATAACCATTCAAAAACAAATTGTCAATGTCACATGCAAAATATACAGTATAAATATCCTTATATCAAACTCTACTTTCTCCAGAAGCATTTCTGTATTTTATCTTTATACATATTTTTTCATCTCTGTGTGTGTGTATACAGTGAAATCAACATTTACTGCAATTTATTCATAAAAATCCAACCCTTTCAAGCATATGTTTAAGTAATGAAGTACTTTAATTCTTTCACTTCCTAGACTGTAATGCTTGCTTGGTGGATAATTACACCCTCATGGTGATGTATTTTACTCTCAGTACCGTAACCCCATCGTGATGTAGCTCCTGTCTAGGAGCTCTGCTGAGGCCAGTGGCATTATGATCAGAAGGTGACACTCTGAAACATGAGCAGAGACACAAGGGGGATGGTGGAGGATAAGGTAACATGGAGGCTACCAGGGTTGAACATGGCCCTAAGAGTGTGGGGAGCAAAATCCCTCTCAGCCCCTCCTCTCTCCCATCTCCCAGAGTCAGTAACTCAGCACCAGAGTCAATAACTCAGCGCCAGCCCCCTGTCTTGATGAGGGGGAGAAGCCTTCAGCACTATGATTTTTAAACATGTGAGGTGGGACACAGGTGAGTTTGCCTGGAGTAGTGGGCACAAGAGATTGAGAGGTGACTTGCATTTTGAAGCTCACTTTTATGCCCCCCCATATGCCCCTCCCTCCTGCCTATTCTTCAGAACCGGAATGAGATGATTGCATACCTCAAAGACCAGCTTCAAGAGATGAAGGCCAAGACAGACATGGAGAGCCGCTATTTGAAGAAAGACACAGAGCTCCAGGTCTACCAGACCCAGAAAAAGTGCAGCAACTCAGAGAGTGACCTGTTCAATGAAATTGAGGTAAGCACCATCTTTAGGCCTGCATGTAAAGTATCTCCAGCTAGCAAGGCGAGAGCTGGCTGACTGCAGATTGCATTGCCACCAAACAGCCAACATGTAACTCACCCTGCAAAGAGAGGTTTGTTTTACACGCAGGTGGCACAAGCTCCTCCATCTCACCCACCAGCCTTTTGTTCCTAGATTTCACTCTCTTACATAGAACAACTGGCTTTTTATTGACACTGCAGAGCAAGAACCTGTCACTTTCAGACGTGCTGTCCATTCACCACTACGAGCAGTCACTCGCCGGCGCACCCTCGTCACAGTGTATGCATATGTGCGTGCCGAGATAGCCTCTGACCTGTTCTGTCTTTATTGATCACAGACGCTGAGGATCAAAAATGATGAGGAGATTAGAGTCCACGTGGAGATTGAAAATTTCCTCAGGCAACAACAGATGGTGGGTGACAAATGTTTTCAATTAGCACTTAAGGCAGCAGCCTATAAAAATCACATCCGCTTATTCCTAGGGTGGCAATTAGTGTCTTAAGGAAAACAGTTAATGTCCATCTATCCCTCAACCAGCTTCAAGACTGTTGTTGGAATTACCATTTGCCCCCAAAACATAACACTGGTTACCTGAATTTTGGATTATTTTAAATCTGGATCTATTTCCTCCAAATCAAAATTGAGATGGGACAGATTTGTTCATCCAGATGCTGCGGGTTCTCCCCCCCACCA